TGGGTTTTGCCTTCTGACACACTCCTGGTGATGTCAGGGGGTGTGGCATATGCAAATGAGTTGTGCTAATGAGTTACGCTAATGAGCTCCTGCACCTCTTTTTCTACGAAAGGACCCCTGGTCAGATCTATTCTGGGTGATATTAAACAGGGCCTGAGAAATTCACCAGGGACACCCACAAGTCAGGCTGCCTTATACTTAATCAGACCATCGGTCCATCAAGGCCTGTATTGTCTGCCGAGACTGGCAGTGGCTCTCCAGGTTCCCTTCACATCACCTACTTCTTGGTCCTCTTTAACTGGAGCTGCTGGGCAGGGTTCCCTCTAAGATGAGTTAGTGTGAGCTAGCCCACAGATTTTTAGCCTCCAGCTCACCCATTTTTGTCTTAGCTCAGGAAGGGATGGCTCCAGAGCAAATTAACTTATGCAGTAGCCAGATTGCTCGCTCACAACTTTAATGCCAGTGGCTCACAAAATAGAATTTTTGCTCACAAGACACCACAGCTTAGAGGGAACATTGCTGCTGGGGCTTGGGGGGACCTTCTGCCTGCAAAGTAGAGGCTTTTCCACTGAGCCACTATTGCTGCAACCTGATTGGTCTATGTACATATATATTGAGAACTGTACAGTACTACACATCTCCTTTGTGGGACCGTTCGTCTGCGAAGCACCTTGTCGGAGTAGAGCTGTCTGATCTAGAAGTGACAGTCAGGGGGTCAGGTGACTGGCAGATTGCATCAGACTCTGCCATAATCACCATGAGTCAGCTAAATGCAAATTGCTGCAACCTGATTGGTCTATGTACATATATATTGAGAACTGTACAGTACTACACATCTCCTTTGTGGGATTGTTTGTCTGCGAAGCACCTTGTCGGAGTGAACAGTGAGTTTGACTCAGAAAGGACTGTGTATATATTCCAATGTCCAGTGTAAATAAACTGTACATACTTAAACAAAGTCTCTGCTACTTTTCGGCGTTTATAACTACCGTCAGAGGGGCTCACCCCACACCTACCTGCTGATCTCTCCTCTTCCTCGGACTCCAAGGCAAACGGATCTTCACCTTCTTCCAGGTAAGAGAGATAGTCAGGTTTGAGACATCCTTTGGAGGAAACCAATAATCCAGTTACTTCTAGCGACAAAGTGTTCAGGCAGTCCAAAGAAACACAATTCTTGCCCTCTTTCTTGGAAGATCAAGGGAAGGACGGAAGCATCTCTGACCTCCAACGGACAAGGATATATCGATAAGCAGTCCTGGGATCATGGCTTCATGAGCAAATGAGGACGTGGGCTTTGAACTGCCTGAGTATCGCTCTCCCTGGAGGAGAGCCACACATATCCAGTAGCCAGGCATGCTTTCTGTCAGAGGCATCACACTTGCCAACTCTCCCCCCCCTCTTTGGACAATGTGGCCGTGCTAATCCATTCTCTCGTCACTTCACAGTTGGATGACTGCGATTAGTGTTCCCTCTAAGCTGAGTTAGTGTGAGCTAGCTCACAAGTGTTTTAGCCTCCAGCTCACAGATTTTTGTCTTAGCTCAGGAAGGACGGCTCCAGGGCAAACTAATTTATGCAGCAGCCAAATCACTGGCTCACAGCTTTAACGCCAGTTGCTCACAAAGTAGAATTTTAGCACACAAGACTCCACAGCTTAGAGGGAACATTGACTGTGATGCACTCAACATTAGTCTGCCCTTGAAGACATCCTGGAAACTTCAGCTGGTTCAGAATGTAGCAGCATAGGTACTGTCAAGAGTCAGAGAGTCATAGCGTTGGAAGGGACCTCCAGGGTCTAGTCCCACCCACTAATGTCTAGATGATTGGAACACATCTCACCTATTTTAAAGCACCTATGTCCCAAAGCACCAATGATGGTTCTCTAGCCTTCTCCTTGTTTCTACACTTAAGGTAGCCCCCTTAGAATGAACCAGTTTTCAACAGGGACTCCAGCCTCATAGAATGAGTTTCTAAGGAGGTGAACTTCTGAGAGGTTTTTAGGAATTCTTATAGAGATATAAGTTTTTAATGACATCTAAGCTGCAGAGGAGCTACGGTGGCTCAAGTGGTTAAGATGCTGAACTGCAGGCTGTGGAAGGTCGGTAGTTCAGCAGTTCGAGACCTGAGTGTGCCGCATGACATTCCCGTCTCTAGTTCCAGCTCCTGCCAACCTAGCAGCTCAAAAGCAAGAGATTGCAAGTAGATAAATAGGTACCACTTCAGTGGGAAGGTAACAGCGTTCCGTGCACCTTGGTGTTTAGTCATGCCGGCCACATGACCACGGAAACATCTTCGGACAGCGCTGGCTCTTCGGCTTTGAAATGGAGATGAGCACCACAATCCTAGAGTCGGACTCGACTGGCTTTCGAGCAAGGGAACCTTTACCTTTACTTTTTTAAGCTGCAGATATTTTCTTGGGGGAGGGACACACACCGTTAATAGCTTTTTAATTATTTATTAAAAACATTTTTATGCTGCATCTTCAGAGACTTACTCAAAAAGCTTGCAAAATATAACAGAGCTGGGGAAAGTACAGAGGAGGGTTGGAGCACCTTCCCTAGGAGAAAAGGCTGAAGAGTCTGGGACTTTTCCGTTTAGAAAGGAGAATGGCTATTGGGGGGGGGGGGATGTGTCACAGAGGTTTATACAGTTAGGCACGAGGTGGAGACAGTTGACCAAGAGAACCTTTTTCTCCCTCTCCCAAAATGTTAGAACTTGAGGGCATCCAATGAAACGGATGGGCAGCAGGTATAGGATGGACAAAAGGAAATATTGCTTTGCACAGAAAGCGATTAAAACGTGGGATTCCCTGCCAGAGGATGTAGTGGTGATAGCCACAGGAATAAGCATCTTGAAAAGGGGATTAGAGAGACTCATGGAGGAGAAGTCTATCAATGGCTACTAGCCATCGTGGCTGAGGGGAACCTCCACATTCAGAGGCACTAATCCTTTGAATCCCAGAGCCAGGAGGCAACAGCAGGAGAAGGCCTCGGTCTCTATGCACTGTTGTTGGCCGTCCAGAGGAACTGGTTGGCCACTGTGTGAGACAGGAGGCTGGATTCCACGCCAGGGAGATGCCAACTGGCACTTTGGGGTCAGGAAGCAATTGTCCTCCAGGCCAGTTGGCCAGGGATCCTGGAGGGTTTATTTATTTATTTATTTTGTCATCTTCTGGGCATGGAGCAGGGGTCACACGGGGTGCAGAGGGAGGTAATTGTGAATTTCCTGCATTGTGCAGGGGGTTGGACTGGATGATCCTGGAGGTCCCTTCCAGCTCTAGGATTCTATCATTCTATGACTATTGGTCTGATCCAACAGGGCTCTTCTTATGCTCTTAATAGTACATCTCCCTTTTTGCCATCAGGACTTTCTCTCAGCTTGGTCCTCCCTCTTTTGGAACACAGAACCTCCCAGCCAAGTAACCCGTATGAAAACTCCACATCCTTACAACCAATGTTCCCTCTAAGCCATGGAGTCTTGTGAGCAAAAATTCTACTTTGTGAGCTACTTGACATTAAAGGTGTGAGCGAGCGATTCGGCTACTGCATAAATTAAGTTTGCTCTGGCACCATCCTTCCTGAGCTAAGACAAAAATGTGTGAGCCGGAGGCTAAAAAACTGTGAGCTAGCTCACACTAACTCAGCTTAGAGGGAACACTGCTTACAACGATAAACCTCAGTGTGGCATCTATCAACGGAAGGCAAAAGGGATCCTTACTCAGAAAGGTCGCATTCTCGTAATTCTCCAGCATGACTTCCTTGTACAGAGCCCTCTGCGCCTGAGTGAGCAAGGCCCACTCCTCCGCTGTGAAATGCACAGCTACCTCCTCGAAGGAAACCAGGCCCTGAAACGGAGGGGGGGGGGGGGGGGGGGGGACAAAGTCAAAACGTATGGAGACTTCAGGGTTCCCCAATATGTGCCTGTGGTGCACGTCAACACCTTTCCTGGTGCCCACAATTTTTATAAAGGGGTCGGAGCCACGGAGGTTTCTTGCCCAGCAGAGGTTCTGATTGGCCTCTGGAGATCTGTTAGGGCGGACAGATTACAATGACACTGTTTCAGCAGCAGCTGCCACAGCAGTATTGGTTTTATTCTCTCTTGTGATCTTCTTTCCCGGGGTATGTTTGAAATCACTCCCGTTCTCCCCTGGCACTTGGGCTTACACGAGTACGTAAGAAAAACCAAGTTAGATCAGGCCAATGGCCCATCCAGTCCAACACTCCTCTGTGTCACACAGTGGCCAAACCACAGGGGCCACCAGGAGGTCCACCAGTGGACCCAGAACTCCAGAAGCCCCTCCCACTGTTGCCCCCCCCCAAGAATACAGCTTCCTCTCTCTGTGTGTCTCCGGTTCCCGTGGTAGCCCACCACCCACCACCTGTCAGACTCTTGGGCAAAAATACTCTCAACAACACTCACTGGCAATGATTTGTTTATTGATGAATACAGATGACCCAAGCTAAGACTGATCCAGGTCAGAACTGGTGCTGGGCCCCCAAAATATCCAATTATACTTTACTCAAACCAGTCCCCCCACCCCCACCCAGCTGCAAACAATTATGTTTCACAACCATCTTGCCTAGCTTTCGCTGTCTTTCTCCCCCCCCCCCCGGCGGGGGCTGTTTTGTTCTCATTAGCATAACAGGCCACACCCAACCGCAGAAACTCGTTAGCCTATTAAGCCACACCCCTGACAGCACAGCTCATTAGCACATTAGGCCGCACCCCCATGTTACCAGAACTGTGGTAATCCAGCCACACACACCTTTTGCTTCTTATTCTGTTTACCTTGTTTGTTGTCAAAACCCAGGGCTTTTTTGTAGCAGGAACTCCTTTGCATGTTAGGCCACACACCTCTAATGTAGCCAATCCTAATGAGTTCCTGCTGTTGGGTGTGGCCTATTATGCTAATGAGTTCCTGCTGGGCGTGGCCAACTCGGGAGCCAGCCGGAACTCCGTTCCTGTGCGTTCCTGCCCAAAAATAGCCCTGAATTCTTACCACTCCGTTATCTAAAATAGCAAAGTGGCACAGACAGGACTCAAGGTCATCCCCATGTGAAGGGAGACAGCTTAGGAAGACTCATGACGCAACTAAACAAAGCAGTCTCACACGCTCATCCACTCACACACAAACACCCCCTGCAGGAATGTCCGACTCCCCACAGGCCTCAACCCCCCCCAAGCAATGGCAAACTAGAGCAGAGTTTGACACCGCCCTGTGTCAGAATTGCCAAGGTGCCCACAGGCCCACGAAAGTTGGGGATCCCTGGCACAGTTGTTTATAACATGAAGGCGCATGATCCCCCCCCCCAAAAAAAAGGATTAGAAGCTTCATGTGATGGAATCAGCAGATCCCACAGGTTTCCTGGTGGATACCTCAGACAACCTGTAATGCCAGAACCAGGCCTCTTCCCTCCAAGTCCCTTAACACTGCAAGGGACACCTGAGCTGCCCCTCCTCCTAATGACCCCCCCCCCCGACTTACAAGAGCTGGCCGCATGGGGACAATTTCCAGTTTCCCGCAGAGGAGAGGGGGCCTAAAATTTGACAGGAGGTGCTGTTCTTCAGCCTGTGAAGAAGAAGGAAATAAAGGGGAGGGGGAGAGCAATGTGAACATTATTATTTATTTATTTATTTTGCATTAGCCATCATGGGATATTTTTTTTCAAAGCAAGTTATAACATGCTATTGCCATTAAAGATACATTAACATAGAAGTGCATTCCAATAACACTCGATAACTAAGTCAGAAATATTGAACAACTTAACATTTCAACAGAAAGATCTTCTATAATACATAAGATCAATGGTCTGCAGATTTAGAGGAGTAAGGATTGCAAATATTGTCTTTTCCCAACAAACTTTTGTAATAATGTTTCACGACAATAACCATTTATGACAATGTATATGGGGGGGGAGAACTGATGGCAGATTAAGCATAAAAGTGGAAAAAGTCAAGCTCGGATGAAGAAATACAAGTTTTTGCCAAAGATAAACAAAAAAGCAAGATGTTGGTGCTGAGTGAAGACGCTAGCAGAGAAGAAAGGAGGAACTTCCGGGGATGGCGCAGTTACTAACTTAAACTGTGAAAGACTGTGACTTTGAACTGAGCTGTGAGAAGCGTAATAATGTGCATGGAGGTGGAAAGCAATGGCTGAGAATGGCAGCGATAAATTCAATGTTGAAAACGGATATATCCATTCTCAAAGTCTATTTTTTTTTTTGCGAAAAGGCACATTAGCGCAAGGCTCATAGTCGATAACCAGAAAGTAAACGATGTGGAGGAGGAGCTGACAAGTTGCAGAGAGAGAGCGAGGAAGATTCATCCTGTACACCGAGAGCATAAGAAACCAGCACGGACGAAAGAAGCAATACTAACAAAACACCTTTGGGACAATTTTAACATACTAACAGGGACTTGTCCAATTGTTAAGATGAAAGAAGATTGACAACACACAGAAGAATGTTTCACTTTTACTAACAGATTAACATAGCAATAACTAATATCACTCACACTTTCCTTTATCCCACTATACACCCTCCTTTTTTTCCTTAAGCGAAACTCCTCTCCTTTTTAGGAGAGTTTAATAAAGCATTTACTAAAAAAAATAATAACCATTTATGACAATGTGAGTTTGCAGGCAGTATCTCGTGTGTAGTGAGATATGAGGTTGATTCAAATTTGATACCGGGTTGATTCAAATTTGGAATTGGATGACAGAGATGTTTGTGCTCTATGTACTTTATCTGTGATTTTTGCCATCACAAATTGTTCCCATACTTTTTCATGCCAAGCGGATAACGTTGGTGGTAATGGAGATGTCCAACATGAAGCTATTGTCAGGCGTGCTGATGCAGGGAGTAAAGAAATTATTTCCTCATTTCTAACATCTATGTCGGTATCCCAGCGGTTTAGTAAAAAGATTTCAGGCTTGGTATATTTGACGTTCCGTTCCAAACTGCAAGCCAGAATGAACCCCTGGGGGCTTTTCAGACCTTGCAGAGAGAAAGAGGAGACATGGCTGCCAAAGGCTCTGTTAATTTGCTTATGGTGTGTGCGGTGTGTGTCCTGTCCTGCAAGTCATTTCTGACTCACGGCGACCCTGCGGATTAATGTCCTCCAAAACGTCCTGTCCTTAACCGCCTTGCTCAGGTCTTGCTGGCTGAGGGCCTTTGTGGCTTCCTTGACTCAGTCTGTCCATCTCCTGTTGGGTCTTCCTCTTTTCCTGCTGCCCCCAACTTTTCCGAGCATTATTGTCTTTTCCAGTGACTGTCTTCTCATAATGTGACCAAAGTACGATAGCCGCAGTTTGGCCATTTTAGCTTCTAGGGAGAGACTGATGTGATCCGCCAAGTAATGACTACTAGGAAATTAAAGTTTCGAGGCTGACCATGAAGAAATTGAAGAAGGAGAGAAGAGATTGGATTTATACCCCGCCCTTCACTTGGAGTCTCAGAGTGGCTTACAATCTCCTTTCCCTTCCCCTCCCCACCACAGACACCCTGTGAGGTGGGTGGGGCTGAGAGAGCTCTGACACAAACTGCTATTTTCCAAGGACAGCTGTGGCAGAGCTTGTGACTGACCCAAGGTCACATCAGCAGGTGCAAGTGGAGGAATGGGGAATCAAACCCGGTTCCCCCAGATTAGAGTCCGCACACTTAACCACTACACCAAACTGGCTCTCCAGCTGTTTGTGATTTTCTATTCCTTGGCTCCATCGTCAACCAAAAGGGAGACTGCAACCCAGACATCAGAAGGAGGCTGAGGCTGGGCATGGCAGCCATGAAGGAGCTAGGAAAGATTCTTCAGTGTCAGGATGTGTCACTGGCGACCAAGATCAAGTTAATTTGTGCCACAGTATCCCCTGTTACTAGGTGTGGGTGTGAAAGTTAGACACTGAACAAAGTTGACAGGAAGAAAGAAGACTCCTTTGAAATGTGGCACTGGAGGAGAGTTTGAAGGATACTGTGGGCCACCAAAAAGACAACCGAGGCCTGGGTTCGGTCACAGAGACCTGAGCCTTGCTGCACATGAGGTACAAATGGAAGTAAATAAAAGAAATGCAGCAGACAATGGCCAGATACTGGAGGACAGAGCTGAATCTGCTAACTATTGAATCTGCTAACTATTTTGTACCTCTGGCCACTGTCTCCTGCATTTATTTATATATTTGCTTCATTTTATACCTCACCTTTTCCCCCCAAAGAGGACCCAGTGTGACTTACTTAATTCTCCATTCTATCCTCACAACTGCCCTGTGAAGTAGGTTTGGCTGAAAGATGAGAATGTGTGAGAATGTGTGACTACTTTGAAGTTACCCAGGGAGCTTCCATGGGAGAGTGGGGATTCAAACCTGGTTCTCCTGGACCCTCAGCTGACACTAACACAGGGGTAAACAAAAAAAGGAGGGGAACCAGCATACATAAATGGTTCAAAGCACAAAAAAACCTGCTGGCTAAAATAATTAAAGGTGAACAAAAAATGTGTAAAAATAATATTTTAATACCGAGTCCAATAACACAACCACCATACACCTAGATAAAGCCAATATTCCTTTGTGATTTAATAAACTGGCTTCTGTATGCGCTACTATTGAGATTGGGTCCCACTGTAGCCTACTGGTTTTGAAAAAGAATCATTCGAATTCGATTAAGTTAACTAGAGCAGTACCACTTAAAGAAAATATCTACAAGATGTACTACAGGTGGCATTGGACACCTAATAAAATAGCAAAATGTTTTCAGAACACCTCAAACAGATGTTGGAGGTGTAAAAAAATGTGGGGTCTTACATGCACATCTGGTGGAACTGTTATAAGGTACAAAGTTTCTGGAAAAAAGTGCAAAAAATTCTAAATAAAACACTAAAGATTAAACATAAGGCCCGGGGGGGCAGAGCCGGTCCATCCAGGGCTGTTATGCGGCCTACAAGCAACTGGTGCCAGGGAGGGAACAGGGGACACGGGGGGGGGGGGGGGGGGAGACCCCAATTGTGGCTCCAACATGGCACGACAACCTCGTCTGCAGCAGTCAAGCAGCACCCCTTCAGGGACTGGTAAGCGGGGGGCCACTGCAGCCGCATTCATACCTCTCCACCCGGCCTGCAGCTCCCAGGATGCTGTCCCAGATGGCCACAGGGGTCAGGGTGTGCAAGGGAGGGGGGCAGCCAGACAATCCTCTGTGGGGGGGGGGCACGGGAGCATCTGCTCACTGCTGGCTCTCCAGTCCGCCCATGTGGGTTTTCCTCTGCAACCCCTCCCCCAGCCCATGGGGCCCTGCAGTGAGTGAGGACACACCAATTGGGAGGTTACCAGTTGCTGTCCTTTATAAAGTTTCTATCTCCCAGTATCGGCATTACATTTGGTGGTACACATGGCCGAGCAGAAAAAGTGACATTTGTGCCAGATGTGGGCCTCATAACAGTTGAGTTTATTTATTTATTTATTTATTTTA